CTATGAGCTTTTACCTCAAACAGCAAGTTTTACTAATCACAGCTTAGGAAAAACTTTTCCAGGATTTACATCTCTAATTTGTCCTGGTGTAAAAAGCCAATCATTAGATATTTCTATATGCTTGCAAATTCTCAGCAAACCATACATAACCCAAATAAAATTTTTGGCTAGTTTACACATTAAAACAATAACCAACAATGGCTAAATTATTTTAGCGGTAACCAAATTATGAAAAGTTGCTTGACATAACTGATATAGAAAGTTCACCAATTTGAAACTTGAAACAAACCCATTACCAATCAGGTGACTTCAGTTTTGTTAAATGCACTTCCAAATTACTTTACACAGAATCAACATCTCATCATTAACAGATAAAACTACAAATTTAAAAGAGCATGCTTACTCAAGTTTGAAGGCTAGCTTCATTACCTTGAGCAAGATGTGCTGAACCTGGGTGATACTTCCAGGCAAAGGTTGCCCTACAGCCCAAGGCCATTGCCAGTGGGGCCCATGATGTAGCTGCTGCCCCTCCTCCCGCCTTCCTTTCCCAGGTGGGGGAGGGTGAAATCAAAGGTGAGGGGTAAAGGGTGAAACTCTCTTCTCCTATGAGAGGGGTTAATAGATACCCTCTTAACTCAAGAGAAGGGAGTGACCAGGTTGTACAGGTGTTTGAAAACTCCTTAATGATCAATCACAAAACCTCCAGAATCTGCCAAGATATTTTTAGCTGTTCTAACTTTCCCTGTAACCTCCATGAAGGAGGATTCAGAGGTGCAGAGGGAAGGGAGTAAGTAAGCCTCAGGGAACCAAAAAGCAACTGCAGTTTTCCCCAATTCCCTAGCCAAGGGAATTAACAGAATTGAGCATACACGTCCAGATAGGGCGTCCATCCTTGTCCTCTATGCTGAGGAAGGTGTACCCAGGTCCATGGCCTTGAACCAACCCAGTGGACCGAGAGCCTCAGGCCAAGTGAGAGACAGCCTCATAACTGTCTGCCCGAAAAGCACCTCCAAGGCTTGATGCTCGGAGAGCAACCCTAACTGCAGAGTAAGAAAGGACAGAGGGGAGGCTTACATACCTTTGTCTTGTTCGGAGAAGAACTTGGGGTTAGGCAGTTTCCCCGTATGGGCAACCAAAATGATGCAGTTTAGGGACTTAGGGGTTCTAGGACCCCAAAATCACAACACATGGGTCCTGCCCAAGAGAATTCGACCCAAGCCTTCTTTCAGCCAAAGACAAGGTTTATTAGGACATCCATCGTATTGGGCAGACTCTTAAAGAGTCTAAACATTAGTAAGCTATTAGCTATATTTTAAGAATCTGAGCAGTGCCTAGATTATAAGAATCTAAGCATCTTAATGGAGACAAGGTGGACCTTATATACAGAAAGACTGTGGGAGGGACCTAGGAGTGGCCAGTAAGCTGAGGTGAACAGAACTCCTGGGACCTGGACCTTATGGCCAAGGGAGAATGGAGAAATGGCTGGGGGCCATAAATAGGGAGGTAATTGGGAGATTGGGTGTAGCCACAATGAAAGGCCAGTTGATGGGATTGTAGCCTCAGGCGAATGCTAGAGGTTTGGCCAAGTGGGAAAGTCCAGGGTTTTTCTTTTCTGGGGTTTAGATCCCAACCTCATCAGCATGAGGTGTTAAGGGCCCTGGCAATGATAGCAGTGCAGTCAGAGAAGAAAGAGCAAATGCAAGAGACATTGCAAAGAAAAAAGGGTTGTTGGCATTAAGTATAGGCAATGAAGAAGATAAGGAAAAAAAACCAAATTTTCTTGCCTAGAGGTCTCAAAGAATGGCAGTGCCCTTGACAAAAATTAGATCACTGAGAAAAGGAACCAGTTTGTGGAAAGAGGATCACGTTTTTAATTGTGGAGAAGTTCTGTGGATATTTGGAAATAAAAGGTCTAGAACCCAGGTGAGAAAAGATCTGGAGAGGTGAATGTGGAAGTCTTTTGGATAGGAATCATAGTTGGAGACATGAGAGTTAGGGTAGAATGTAGAGCCAATGACCAAAGGCAGAACCTTAGGGTTTATTTACAATAAAGAGGTGGAAACAACCTGAGAAGGAGAAGAAGAATTAGAGAAGAAAAAGAAGTATTGTTCAGAAGAGAATTTCAGGAAGCAGCTAAGACAGTGGAGGTGGGGTGGGGGGACCATCAGCAGTGTCAGAGGGGCAGCAGAGAGGTAAAGAAGGGTAAGGCGCAGTGATTTGAGTTCTCTCTAGTTGTCTGGTTAGATCCCTCTGAAATCTCTGGCCGCAGGAACAGGGTTGCTACATGGAGGCAGCGTAACGTGATCTAGAGGAGAGATGGCTGGGTTTGAGAGTTGAGGGCCTGCGTTTGAATCCTAGCTCTTCCACTTTCTATGTTTATGACCTTGGGCAAGTCCCCTAACCCTTCTGGGCCTCATTTTCCTCATCTGTAAAATGAGGCGGTAGGGCAAAAATGACCTCGTAAGGGCCTACCAGTTCTAAATCTAATCCTAGGTTTCAGCTAGAAGGTTGTTGGCCCGGACTCTGGAACCGCAGGAAAGATGTAAAGGAATCAGTCTCATTCTTCAAACGTTTCTGTGTATCTTAAAACAACCTCTACCCTTCCCCACCCTACCTTATTCATGCCTCTAATAAGAATGATAATAGCTAGCATTTATATAGCATCTGCCATGTACTAGGTGCTTTACAGGTATCTCTTTTGATCCTCACTACAACTTTGGGAAGTCAAGTGCTATTTATTATCCCTATTTAACAGTTGAAGAAACTGAGTTAAGTGAGTTTCCCAAGGTCACAGAGCTAGTATGTATTTGAGGTCAGATTTGAACTCAGGTCTTCTGATTCCATGCCCAGTGTACCTCCTAATTGTCTCTATTTGTAGCCCACCCATAGCATATGTTATTCCTAAAATAAGATCTTGTTTAGCAAAATTTGGTTTTTGCTAAACATTTACAATGTGATAAGTGCTATAGAGCACAAGTATAAACCTCTAGTGTGTCTAGCCCAAGGGCCCTTAATGTGAGGTAACTCTTGAATGTGTTTTTTAAATACTTTGATCAAAGTTTCATTATGCTTTCCTTAGTAACCCTATTTATTATATTACATTTACTTAGGAGCATCATTCTCAGAAGGATGAATAGGCCTTACCAGATTGCCAAAAAGAGTCCATAACACAAAAAAGGCTCAGAATCCCTGGGCTAGCCTCTTGTTTTATTTCATAGTTTTCAGAATTTTTTCATAAGGCAGCCTCTGTCTCTGAAGTTAACAGATATGTTTATCTAGAGAGTAACTTCATCAATCTGATGTAGCTCCAACATTTTGCCTCAGCATTTGACAACACTCCCACCACAAAGCAGCAGATGCTAAGCAGATGGCCCAGAGTTGTTTCCCCAGTGGAGTTTGGGGATGAGGAGTGGGCAAGCCACTGCAGTAGTGAGGGGGCCTAGACTGCATAAGAGGCCAGTCAGTAAGGTGTTTGCTGAAATCAATGTTTTGTCTTAAAGATGGCTCCAGGCACCAGAACGCCATGTCCCTTCATTGGTTCTGAGTGTTTCTGTGACCACTGCTGGGAAAAGGAAAGGTGTCTGTGGCTCATTTTCAAGTTTATGTGTATCCTCATTTATCAGGCAACCAAGGCTGAGAGACTGAGGGACTTGCCCTCATAGCTAGTGCCAAAAGGCAGGACTAAAACCCATGATTCCTGACTCCAAGACTAATGTTTTCCCTGCACTTTCCTCCTTCACAGGTTGGTTGTGTGAGGAAAGTGCTTTTTACCCTCTTTTGGGGGAGTGGGGCAGAGGGACAAGGGGACGCGTGGAAGAGTTATACAAGTTAGGAAAAGAGGAAAATAGAGGTAGCTAATAAACATTGGAAGAAATGGTGGGAATGCAGACTCTTCCTTAGTTTCATCAGTTCAGGACAACTTGGTGTGATGGGTAAATTTTTTTGAAGGCGTTTTGAGATAGAACTTATAAAAAAAAGTAGGAAGATGGGCTTGAAACATAATTACTTAAATATTTTATACTGGTAAATTTTTTTTTGGGGTGAGTCACTACTTAATCCCCCAATCCCATGGTGACAGTAATCAGTGTCATATTATTATTAGGAGGCTGAGATAGAGACAGTGACGACAGTAGGCCTTCAGTTGCTAGGTCTGATTGTTTTTTAATTTTGATTTTTACTTTGTCAAAAGGTAAAAAAAAAATACTCAGAAATTTAAAAAAATTTTAGAACAACTAAAATATTACTGAAAAGTAACTTTTGCATTAGGTATCTGATAAATTTACTTTGAAATCTCTTTTGTATTATTCTAGTTACTATTTTTGTTCCAGTCTCTCATTAAAGTAAACCTGCCTCTTATTTTCCTTTGTGGAGCTTAGGGTCGATAGCTTATTACACAGGCTGTACCCACACATCTGAAGTGGATGAGGGTGTCTGATCTTTCCATGCCTCCCAGGTTTGGCTCCTCACCACCTTGCTGGGGACCACACAGCATACACAGAGGTGTAATATCACATTCAGGTTGGGCAGCCCATAGACATGATAACACTGTCTATGATGGCTGCAGCTGCTGGCTGCAGGTGACAGACTTCTTGGGCACAGCAGGCCTCCTTAACACCCATTTGTTTTTCTGCTTAGGAACAAGGAGCCAAATATTTTCATTTTTGCCCTTTCGCTTGCCATATACCATGGACATAGGGAGGTAGAAGCATCTGCCTCTTTTTTAAAAAATATTTTTATTTATTTCATTCAATATTTCCCAATTACATGTAAAAAATTTTAACTTTTTTTTTTTTAATTTTGGGTTCCTAATTCTCCCCCTCCCTCCCATCCCTTTCCCCTCACTGAGAAGGCAAACAATAAGATATTGATTATACATATATAGTCATCATCTGCCTTTTTTTAAGGCAGTAAATTGGGTTAGAGGTGCATCCTGCACTAATAGGTGACAAATGGGCCCTCAAAATCCTTAACATTCATAAAACAAGGAGACCAGCACTCCCTTAATCAAAAGGCATTTATTAAGTACCTGCTCCTTGCTAGGTACCGTGAACAAAAAAATAGGTGCTGTCCTCAAGATGTTACTCAGCATTCTCCTGCAGCAGGTATCAACCATCCTTCACTTCTAATCCCTTCTGTATATTTTGGGAATTTTAAGATGTCTTAAAACCAACATAGAAATCCAGGGCCAAATGTGGGAATTTCAATGCCTCAGCCCTGTGGCAGATCCAGATGGTCCAGCTCAGAAGCTAATGTCCTTTGTACAGCTTTATTTATTTACATCAGGCTTTGTGTGTTGCTAGCCTCATGGCATTTGGATGTGGCTAAAGTGATGTGTTTAAACTTTCGATGCCCGCATCTTTGGCCATGAAGTAAAAGGGACCAGGCCTCTGGAGTAGGTTATCAGGACTGTCATATTCTACAATCTTCCCGCTATCCAATACCATAACTCTGCAACCAAGACAGAAAGGGAGTGTTGAATCTCAGGAGTTAAAAAGTAAACCTAAACTCTTAGAGCCTAAAGGAGCATCCCCAGTACCTTTCACCCAGTATGATGAGCCCATCTTCTACAACCATCATTTCCTTCCAACCCCCCAGGTTCTAGACTGTTCCATGGAAGGGCTATTCCTAGCAGTTTCCGTAATGTGATGATTTCTCCTATTTGTTAACTCTGCTAAGTGATAGCTTTCCCATTTATGGATTTCCCATCTCATCCTCTCAGTGTAATACCCAGAACTCACCTGTCACTATCCATAATTGTGTGGAGGCGGTGGGCAATGGTGATGACTGTACAATTGGAGAACTCCTTTCGGATTGTGGCTTGGATTAAGTTATCTGTTTCAAGATCCACGGCAGCTGTGGCCTCATCCAGGATGAGAATCTTTGATTTTCGAAGCAGAGCACGACCCAGGCACAGAAGCTGTCTCTGCCCAACGCTGTCATCAATATAATAAACCAAGAGTGAGCGCTCAGACCAGTGGTGCTGTTGTCTTGGATGCTGGGTAGAGCCCAGCATTCTGAGTCCAACTCATTTCCAAATTGACAGACCCAAATTAGGTTCCAATTAGTGCAATGTGTGGGTCAGATGTATTTGAATTCACACCATTCAAAATTATAATTATGTAAAATATGGTGACTGGCTTCAGCTCAGTGGAAAAAGTGCGAAATCAAATAATGCCACCATTTAAGAGGATGCATTATTTGCACTAATCTGGAACTACCTGTTACTATTGCCCTCTTAAGCAGCTATGCAGATAACATCAAGGAAAAATGATGGATATTTGGTACTAGGCATAGTACTGTAAGATTCCATTACAAAAAAAAGCAGTATCCCATTGTGCATCATTTGTGTAGCGGGGGATACCATAGTCTGAAATGTTTCACAATTTCTGAATTGTGTTGGCAAATTCATTTTTATGTGTACTTTTAGCCTCAAGTCTACTGTTTAAAGACCTGCCTTGATTAGAGATGACCATGTTTGATAAGCCTGACTTCCTGATTCAAATAGACTTGTGAAGTGCAAACAAGCTTTAATTTACCAAGAGCCCATAAACAAGGCAGAAATACCTCCTTAAACATCTGTGGGAAGAGAAGTGAAGCAATTAAGGAATGTGCTCATTGCTCTCCGTGGTTGATAGTAGGGAACATTAAGAGCATTAATAGATTAGAATTCTACATTATTTTGCAAAAGAAAAACCTTTCAATGGAGGGGTCAAGGCAAGATAACCCAGCTGTTTTCCTTGGCCACCCCAAAGAAATTTATCAACTATTATCTAAAACCCTATGTGGACTGATAGGATTTTCTAGTCAGTGGTATGTACTTGAGGCTGCTGGTAGGCTTAAGAAAGTGGGTGTGGCCAGGGAGCTCCTAGTTTGCCCTCTACAGGGTCAGCGCCTTTACCAGATCTCAGATGGGACAAAATGATCAAGACCTCGGCAGCACTTTAGTGTCACCTATGAAGGGCAGGAGTATCAGGATCACTTTTATTCTATAGCGCTAAACGGAACAGAAACCATTATAGCTTAGATTGTAGCCTATAAAATGTTTTGCAAACCTCAAAAGTACTATATTAATGTTAGCTATTAACTTGATGTCAGGATTAAAAATCTTCCCCAAAATTAGGGTAAAAGGCAACTGAATCTTTTGCAACTGGAAGCATGCTACTAATAGGTAGAAATCACCCTAGTCTGGTCCTTCCTTGATAATTAGTCCTGACTTGTAGAGGGAATTCTACCTGAGGCTTTAGCAGTAGGCCGGAGGTAGTTATGGTGCTGTCAGACATCTCCAGAGAAAGGATTGCCCTAGACAGTGAATGTGGTTAAGAAATAGAAACCTTGAGCAGCATGGTGGTATGGTAAAGGGCTGGCTAGACTGAATCCTAGTTCTAGCCCTTGCTAGCTGTGTGACCAAGGGTGAGGCATTTAAACTCACTAGCCCCAGCTTCTTCATTGATACATTGATATCATTGTTGATAGCTAATATTTATATGGAACTTAAAATATCTCACTTTCCTTGACCATTACAACAACCCTGCAAGGTCGATGCCTTTATTATCCTCATTTTGCAGATGAAGAAGCTGAGGCTAAGAGCTGTTACATGACTTGACCAGAGTTGCACAGCCAGCCTGCGTCTGAGGCAGCATTCAAACTCCAGCAAATTCTCTAGTATCATTTAAGTGAAAGGTGTGGAAGGGCTAAACCCTGCTGCTAAGCAGACACATCGAGAGTTGGAATTTGTCAGGCAGCCTAAATGTCAACATGTCCACCTTCCTGGCTGCCATTTTTTCTTTCAGTTTTGAGGAAAGAGTTTTAGGGCACTCCAAGGTAACTTCCCAGTAGGTGACCCATGGAAAGGGACGGCTGCTGTGGAACGATGCTTCTACCTTCTCGTGGCTCCATCTGAAATCACACAACCTCAGGCATGGCATCAGATGGCCCCAACAAGGATCCCGGCCAGAAGCGGAGGCAGATTAGTGAAATAAGTGAAATCCAACTCCTGCCACAAGAGGGCAACGTGGTGGTAGAAACAGATCTCAGATCCACCCTGCTCACGGATAGTTTTAATCCATGATGTCCCAGGGGACTTGGTCACTTTCTGGGGACAGCCCTAGGAAGGCACGATGCCCAGCAGTTTTCGGGCCTACGATAGGCATGCCAGAAGAGAAGGGCCTTGTTTTACATCTCGTGTTTCTTTATAACCTCAACTACCAAACAAAAAAAAAATGAGAAAATGATTTCCAAGCCTCCAACAATGACCCACTTATAGGAATAATGTTTGACAACAAAACAATGCCAACAAAAAAAAGTGTAGAGTCCCCTGGAGTTTATTGTACCATACTGGGATTTAAACTCCACCACTATTCTAATTCCTGCCTACAGAAACAACACTGGAAATAGTTGTTAATGTTGCTGTTCTGCCGTCATCTGCGTCCTTTCTGTGACTCTCCACAGCAGGGTAGTAAGAATAGGAATTAACACAGCACTCTGAGATTTGCAAAGCTTTCTAGATATATTATCTCATTTAATCTTCACAACAACCTTGTGAGGTAGGTGGTGGTGTTCCTTTTTTACAAATGAGGAAACTAAGGATGAGAAAGGGTGGGTGACTGTCCCGGTGCCACCCAGCTAGCTAATAAGAGTCTAAGGCCAGATTTGAACTTGAGTCTCCCTGACACAAGGTCCAGTGATCTCTCCCCTGTGCCACCTAACTGTGTACACAGATGTGGAAACTGGAAGCACATCCGAAGGCTGGGCTGTTCAGGGATCAGTCTGGTTAGAACAGAGCCACAACAGAACCCGGCTCTCTGTACTTATAGCATCGCATGCTTTTTCCACTAATGAGGATTTTAAAAAAACATGAACAAAAATCAGCTTTTCTCAGAACATTAGTGCCAGGAAGGCCCCTTATCAGTCACTAGTGCTACATCTTCACTTTAAAAATGAGTAAAATGAGGCCCATGAAGGGGAGGTGCTGACGTCAGTCCAGTGTCCTTTCCACTCCACCATGCTGGTCTAGGGTGGCCCTCTCTTAAGCCAAGGAGATTAAGATGCTTTATTGACACCATACCCACATTACAGGGGAGGTTAGTTACAGTCTCACAAGGCACATGAGGGAGAGGAAACATTGCTTCCACCCTTTGGTCTAATGGTTGCCTTAAGAGGAAGCTGGTCTGTGTTCGGGGACTTACCTGAAGTTGTCACCACCTTCACTCACTTCGTAAGATAGACCCTGTGGCAAGCCTTCCGCGTAGGTCTTCAGGTGAGCCAATTCCAGCGCCTTCCAGATCTCTTCATCAGAGTATTTGTTGAAAGGATCCAAATTCATCCTCAGGCTTCCAGAGAATAGGACAGGATCCTGCATAAACCAAGGGGCAGGAGGAGATACTGGAGGCTGGCTGGCAGGGACACCCTTCCTACAGTCCCCAGATTGAGGATGTTGAGTTTTAGAAATCTCAGGGCCCTTCAGACAGGTGGTGGATCACAAGGGTAGAATCATTCAGGGGGCAAATGATAAGACTGGTAGAATAACAATGCATTTTAAGCTTAGTACTGTATTTCATCCACTAAGCTTGGGCGCCTCCTAGGGGAATATTTCCCAGAAGTTTTATTCTGAAAGGAGAGGTATGGATAGCTGAAATAGCTTAGTTTTTTGTTTTGTTTTGTTTTGTTACCTATGGGGCTCAGCACCGATAAGCACATCATTACAAACACTTCATTAAAAGTGCCAACTTTTTAATCAAAGATCTGGTGTTCATAGTGTTGGATTAGCAGTGGTTAGAGCTGGGTTTATTCATCTTGAGTCCAGAAAGCAGAATTAAGACAAATGATCAAAACTATAGGGGAAGGGAAGGAAATAAACATTTATTAAGCACCTACTATGTGCTAAGCACTGTGCTCAGTGCTTTTAAAAATTTCTCATTTGATCCTCAGGAAAACCTCTAGGAGGTAGATATTACTATTACCCCCATTTTACAGATGAGGAAACTGACATGTTTTGTCGGAGGTCACCCAGCTAATAAGTGTCCAAAGGCCAGATCTGGATCTTGTTGACTCCAGGCCAGGTGCTGTACCCACTCAGCATCATCTCAACACAAGGAAGAGCCACATGAAGATGGAATGAATTGCCTTAGGAGAGCGTGGCTATCAAAGGTAGTGGAGCAGAGGCTGGAGGTGTTGTGAAAGGGTCCATGCTTCTGATGAGGGGCTGTGCTGGTGGATCTCTGAGGGCTCTTCTGGCTCTGGCTTTTTATGATTCAGAACATATACCTTGGGAGCAGTGGATGGGAGCAGGGCACATGGTCAGGGATAGTTCCCAGGGGCCTTCACACTAGATGCCATTACATTTCTCTTCTCTGTCACAACCAGACTCTCAGAAGACCTATTGGCATCTGCTATCAGCTCCATCTTCTGTCCTTTTATGCACATCTGAATTCTGTGCTCTGGTTTCCAGCTTCATCCATCAATTGAAATTGTTCTCTCCAAAATTGCTAGGGAATGCTCATGCACTCAATCAGACGGCCTTTGCTCAGCCCTCTTCTTTCTCCACCACTGTGCCATATTTGACACTGTTGGCCACCCTTTCCTAGTGAAGACTCTTTTCTCTAGGTTTTGTGGCACTGGGTTTTTTCATGCTTCTCCTCTTACCTGTCAGACTGCTCCTTCTCAGTCTCCTTCGTTGCTTCCCCATAACCCCTAACTCTAAGTGTCTCTGTTCTAGGCCCTCTTCTATCTCTATACTCTTTTACCTGGTGAACTTATCAACTCCCATGGGTTTAATTACCATCTCTATACTGACGACTCCCAAATCTATATATACTTAGCCCTAGTCTCTGTCTGTCTGTCTGTCTGTCTCTCTCTCTCTCTGTCACACACACACACACACACACACACACACACACACACACACACATACACACACACCATCTCCCATGTCTGGAATGCCCTTCTCACCTCCTTTCTGCCTTTTGGGATTCACCTTTTCCTATAAAACTCTGCTCAAGTAACATCTACACGAAGTCTTTCCTGATGTCCCCAGTTGGTACCTTCTCCCCCCAGAAATTATTTTTAATTTCTTTTGTATATATGTTTTATGTGCATTTTGTCTTCCCTGATAGAACACACACTCCTTGACGACAGAAACTTTCATTTTTGTCTTTGTATCACCAATGCCTAGCACATAGTAGATGTTTAATAAATGCTTATTCATTGTTTGATTGGCTGTTGGGATATTCTGTCTGGAGAAGACAGACTTAGTGGGGACATGATGCCCAATGATAGAGTGTTAGACTTAAGAGTCGGGGAGACCTGAGTCAGAATCCTGCCTCAGACAGGTATGACCCCAAGTAGAGGGTTCATTGTTCAGATATGGAGTTATACTAGATAAGCAATTCCCAAAGTGTGGTCTGCAGATCCCAGGCCCAAATTCTCAAAACTGTTTTCATAATACTACTAAGATGTGATGCCTTTTAAAATCTGGATCCCTTTTCCAATTACATATCTGTTTGAGGCCAAATTTTCTTCAAATACTTCAACTAAAACAACATAATACAACATATGGAATGTTTAGTCTTCTATTAGACAAAGAGATTTGCAAAAATATGTAAAACAATGTCATTCTTCTCACTAAATTTTTTGTTTTGGAAAAGTTATTTTTCATAAAAATGTTATTTATATGAATATAATGCTTTTATTGCTATTTTCATGAATAAATCATATTTTTAAATTTTATCAGTTTTAGTTTCTAATATGGTAAATACTGATATTATAATGCACATAGACAAAAGATCTTTGGGGTCTTCATAAAGTGTTAAGGGGCACTTAGACAAAAAAGATTGAAAACTACTGGACTTGATACCCTCTGAAGTCTCTTCCAGTTATGAAATTATGTGGTTCACTGATTAGGAAATGCCTCTCCGTTGCCATTTATTAGGTGGGGAAAATATTCCTAGGTTAGGCCATGGAGAAGGGCATGTTTAGGTGAGGAATTCTAAGCAAGATCGCAAAGTCCGTTGCAAATGCTACGGAAAAGCTGAAGAAATGCTAAATAATAATGGTACTAAAGTGTTGAGTTACTGCCACCTACTGGTTGTTTGCTAAATCATAGCTTTGGCTTTATTTATTTATTTATTTTTGCAGCTACCCTCAATAAAAATAGAGAGCCTAAGAAGGTGGTAGACTATTAATGATTCATATGGTTTGCAAAGTGCTTTGCATTCTAAGATATGTAAGGAACTGATTCAAAAATATAAGAATAAGAGCCACTCCACAATTGACCAAACTCTTGAAGGATAGGAAAAAGGCAATTTTTAAGGAAAGAAATCCAAATAGTCATGGGAAAAAAATGCTCCACTAATGATTAGGAAAATGAAAATTAAAGCAACTGTGTTTCCACCTCACATCCCTCAGGTTGGCAAAGCTGGTTTAAAAAAAAGGAAAATGACAAATGTTGGAGAGGCAGTAGGGAAGAAGGCATGAGAATGCATTTGGTAGAGCTGTGAAATTGTGAAATTGGTCCGGCCATTCTGAAAAGCTCTTTGGAACTCTCCTTGAAAAGTTACTAACCTGCATATTCTTTTACCCACCAATGTCACTAGGCCTGTTCCCCAAAGAGATCAAAGAAAGAGGGAAAGGACCCCCCCACACAAAAATATTGATAATAACTCTTTTTGTGATAGCAAAGAACTGGAAACTAATGAAATGCCCGCCAATTGGAAAAAGGCTGAACAAATTACGATATGTGAATGTAATGAAATCCTATTGTGCCATGATTCCAGAGGACCAAGGATGAAGAATGCTACCCACCTCCTCACAAAAAGGTGGTAGACTAAATAAGAAAGAAGGAAGGAAGAAAAGTAGCTAAGTAGGAAGGAAGAAGGAAGCCAGCATTTACTTAATGCCTACCATATACCAGGCACTCTGTTAAGTGCTTTACAGATATCTCATTTGATGCTCACAACAATGCTAGGAGGTAGGTACAATTATTATCCCCATTTTACAGTTTAAGAAACTGAGACAAACAAGGATTAAGTGACTTGCCCGGGATCATGTAGCTAATAAGTATCAGAGGACAGATTTTAATTAAATATACAGAATGAGTCACATAATTTTGGACATGGCCAATGTGGAAATTGGAGATTCTTAGATGGACTAAATAAGTGGTCTCTGAAGTCCCTGGCAATTCTGAGATTACATGATTCTGACACTGAAGGAATAGTGGAGAGGACATCTTTTTCTCCCCCTACATTTTTATGTACCTCCACACTACCTATGAGACCTCAATGGTATGAAATCCCTGCAGGTAGCCCTATTTCTCAGTAATCTCAAAAGAGAAGGAATCTTTAAAGAGAAAAGATGAAAATGTAAATTGCAAAGTGTCAGAATGGTACCGTGTACATAATAGGTGTTCAATGAATATTTTTTTGAAGGAAGGAATTCATTAACTCACTACCCATCACTCCCATGCCCTCCTGCCCCCAGGAGTGCCTGCCAACTTAATTCATAACACAACAACAATGTCTCTTTTGTGGCTGTTTCAGGTACTTGAATAGAGCTGTTGCAAGAAAAAAATTCTAGGTATATTGTCCATTTGCTTGCTCCTAGACGGTCAGACAGTCAGTCAACAAGTATTTAAGTGATATCTCTATGTTCTAGGTACTGTGCTAAGTACTGGGCATACAAAGAAAAGCGAACAAAACTAAACTAAAAAATCAGTCTCTGTCCTCTGGGAGCATACTTTGTACTAGCCACACAAGTGTGACTTATTTACTGGTTTAGAAAGCTGAGAATTGATTGTAATAGCCAAGCTGTCCAGATTCTCCACAAAGCAGAGAGCAAGAGCTTCAGATACATAACCCTATAACACAGGGGACTGTTTGTCCTGCCCAGGGATGGGGCTGTGCCCTTTGCTAGCAATATGCCAGGGATGAGGACCTGAAAGGCTGGGAGCCCCAGGAAACAGATCATCTCCAGTAATGATGGTGTCCTCTCATCTGCTCTAGAGATTAAGCCAAGAAGTGAGGACTTCACCAAGAGTCCTACGGACTTCCCAAGGGCAGGTAAAGGCGGGGAAGGATGGGAGGAAGGCTTCCAGAACTCACCTGAGGGATGATGGTCAGTTTGTTTCGGAGATCATGGAGCCCAATGGAGGCAATATCTAGTCCATCAATTGTGATCTGGCCTCCTGCCGCTTCTAAGATCCTGAAGAGGCAGTTGGTAAGGGATGACTTCCCAGCTCCTGTCCTGCCCACGACGCCAACCTGCAAAAGATAGTCTTTCTTTAAGTTATTTACACTTGTTGACCCCAGGAAGAAATTTTATTTGCCTGAGACCCCCATGCTGTCATAGGAGAAGCAGTTCCTGGCCCTTTGTAAAGTTCCTTCCTTTGAACCTCACCTTTGACCATGACTCAGCCAAGGGCTCTATGGAATCATCCCCAAAGAGAAGTCAAGCAAAGTTAGGACTGTTCTTTTCTCTCCATAGGACAGGACACCCTACTTTCCCTGTTTACTGCTCCAAAAGATCCTCTTCTTAAAATTGTGCTTGGGACCTCACTGATAGTGTTGTTACCAGAAAAAAAATTAGCCCAGGATAGGAGGTAGGGAAAGGGTTCAGGGTAGGGGAGGGAGGTGGTATACCTTGGGATATCTCAAAGGTTCTACATTGCCAAAAATGTGGCCACCTAGATTGAAAAGCACATGGGCTGAGCCAGAGGTGGAGGCAGGCAGAGCTAGGCAAGGGAACAAGGGCACCAGCAGAGAAGGTCAGCAGCAGGGTGGGCAAGTGAAGAATCACCCCCAGGAAGCAGCCTCTAAATGACCAGCCCTGGACAGAGCTCCAGCTGCCCCACCCTGGCTATCGCTGCAGTTACTCTCGTCCTCATGGCTTCCCTCTCCACCAAGCAAGGAAGCGGGAGGACAAATCCAGGAGCCATAGAAGGAGCCCAAGTGAGAGCATGTAGAGGAATGCCCGGGTCCTTCTGCTCTGTTGACGTTCTGCAGCCTGGCTGTGTGAGCATCTGCCCCATTCTCCAGCGGGCAGCGCCTGCAGCACAATCCTTCACCCCAGCCCAAGAAGGAAGGATCCCCGAGGTCTCACTGGGCCTCTGTTTCTGGTTGCCAGCAAACTCTAATCTTTATTTTTTCCCCCCAAATGCCCACCTCCTCAGTGGCTGCCATGCTTACCTTCTCAGTACTCTCAATGTTACAGGTTATCCCGTGCAGTGTCAGATCCAACTCAGGGCGATAACGCACTTGGTAATTAGTGAACTGGATCTCACCTTTGCTGGGCCAGTTATGTGGAGGCCTCTTCTCTGTAACCCAGCAGGCCTGCATGAGGAACCAGACAGAAGCCTCAGCACCAACTCTTCTTTAAAAAATGTATTGCCATCTTTTGTTTTTACATCACCTTTACTTCCAGTTATATCCCTCCCCCTTTCTCTTGCCAGTGAACCCTGTGATAAAGGTTTAAAGAGGAAGAGGAGGAAAAAAAGTCAGCAAAATTAACTTACACCTCATGAGATTCTAACAATATATACAACATTCCACATCCATAATCTCCCATGTCCTCAAGAACAAGGGGAGAATACCTCCTTTTCTAAAAGGAGCGTGCTGAATTGAAAGATCTGCTACCTGATGACCCGGGGTCAAATACCAGCTCTGTTAGGTGCTGCCTGGGTGACCTTCAGCATCACCCTTTCTGGGTTTCAGTTTCTTTATCTCAGAGTCAGAGAAGATGATTCCTAAATTCCTTTATAACTCCAGGTCCTACATTTCTTGGTCTTCCCTGAATGGAAACTCCTGTGGAATTTTTATCACTTGACAGATTTTTCTGACTTCAATCTGTTTGGGGGAATGGTAGACCACCACAGCCCAGCATTCTAGTTTCTCAGGCCACCATGTTGAATCTTCTTGTCCATTGGCATGGACTGGACTAGAATCATGATTGCCCCGCTCTCTCGTTAACTCCAGCTCATCCCACTAAAGCCTCTGAAGCTGTGTCCGTCTTCATTCTAAAGTTCCACCTGATGAATCCCAATATACAAATTCCCAATCCCCCTCTTAAATCCAATTCACAAGGAAGTCAAGACACGAGGATGATGTCATTGGTCCTCTGAGAATGAAGAAATAACAACAACAAGGGGGCCACAAATCTAATTTCTGTTCCCAGGTTGAAAGAGTCAAACTCCTTAAATGTCTTGCCAAAAAAAAAAAAAAAAAAAAAAAAGGAAAACCCTTTTTCGTCTAGAACAGTCTTATGTGAAATTTAGAGGGGAAATGTGTGTGCTCTTTAAACAGTTATGGTTTCATTATAAGCCTGACTAACCTGAGACAATACTGGGTTAAAAAATTATTGATTACTTTTGTTTTTACATTATCTACATTTCTCAATGTATCTCTCCCCCTCCTAGGGGGACTATGGACTCAATAATCCCTTCTATGTGCCCAGCACTGGGTTAGTTGCTTTTAAGGAAAGAAAAGACCAACATAGGAATAACCCAGGACAATGAAGTACAAAATAGGACTTGAAAGAGGAGTGTTCTGCATGGGGGAAAATTGTCAGGGAAGGCTTCATGGAGGTGAGGAGACTCGAACTGGCCATTGAAGGATGGAGCATTTGGAAGATGGCATTTTGGGGTTTCAGGAGTTGAAGCAACACATCAAACTGCCCCTCCCTGCTTCCTCCATGGTTCTGTCATTTATGAGAGTGACTTCCTTTTAACTTTTAAGTTTCAAAACCTAATGTAGTGGCACCCTCCACCCAGAAAGCTAGCTCTTCTAACAAAGAATAAAAAAGAAAGGTTGGGGTTGGGGGGGAAGCAGATTAGCAAAATTAACCAACACATTAACCAATTCTGACAGTATATGCTGTGTCCCAGCCCTATAGTCCCCAGCTTGTACAAAGAAGGGAGGGAGATGCAATTTCCTATCTCTTCGTTGGGGGTGAGCTTAGGCAGGATCGTTATCCAGCATTCAGCTTCTATTTTTGTTGTTGTCAACAATATATTTTGTTTTGTTTTGTTTTTTGGTGAGGCAATTGGGGTAAAGTGACTTGCCCCAAGTCACACAACTAGTAAGTGTTATGTGTCTCAGGCCGGATTTGAACTCAGGTCCTCCTGATTCCAGGGCCCGTCCTCTACCAACAATATTATTTTAATTAATAACCCTCAAATTCAAATATTTGGACCTGTTTGTCATAGGAGGCAAGGAGACAGAGAACAAGCAGAAAAGAGATGAGGAAATGAAGAAGCTGAAAAGAGGAGGAGAAATTGAAAGGCAGTAGAAAAGTCAAAATCTATAAAGGACAAGGTCCACTTAAGCCCAAATCATCCCTATCTCCTGTCTCCTTCCCTCTCTCTCTAGTTCCTTCTTACCTCATTTTTCACTTTGATGTACTCATCTATTCGCTCAACAGCCACAATGTTGGTCTCTAGTTCAGAAGTCATCCTCACCAACCAGTTCAGGGTCTGTGTAATCTGCACCAAGATCAGAAGACAATGGGTTAGCCTCTGACCCAGAAACTTGCTCCATCAGCCTATCAACAAGCATTTATTTGTTGTTTTCTGTGCCTAGTACTGTGCTAAGTACTGTGAGGGATACATAATTAATACATAGATGAAACAGTTCCTGCTTTCAAGGAACTCAGGACAATGAAGTGTTACTGAACACGAGAGCAGAAGTTGGGAAAATGGAGATGTCACCGTCTACAAGGGGTGTGTCGAGAATGCTCAGGGAAGGCTTCATAGAGGAACCTTAAAGTATGCACACATAAGGGATGCCACAGTGGGGAGGATCAAGACTTAGCAGATGAAAATACCCCTCTCTGCCTCCTCCTAGGTGCTCTCCTTCTCCAGGGAGTGGGCTAGCATCTGAGCCTAAAAGCCATAGGAAAGGATCATCAGATGGGGAGGCAGGAAAGCTGAATTCTAGCCACACTTCTGCCACCAGTTACTCTTGTGATCCTAGGCAATTCTTGGAACGGCTACAGGCTCTCTTTTTCCCATGGGCAAAATCAGGAAGTCAGGCTAGAATAATTCCCAAGTCCAGCTCTCACAGTCTGTGTTCCTAAGGGCCTGTGACAGGGGTACTACTACATGTTTCCTTGATCTGCTTCACAGATGTTACAGTCAATAGTGTTGGACTTGGAGTCAGGAGAACCTGAATTCAAATCCTGATTCAGATTCTTACTAGATCTGTGACCCTGGGAAGTCACTTAATCTATCTGAGCCTCGTTTGCAAAATGTGGATATTAACTGTCCCTACTTCATAGGATTGTTATGAGAATCACATGAGACAATGTGTGAAATGTTTTGCAAACTTTCAAGTACTATATAAATTCTATTACGATTATTGTTATTATGATTAACATTATTACTGTTACTCTGGATCTATCCCAGGCTCCTCCCTGTTTTCACAAGGATATTGCTGGGTCACCCCTGATGTCTAGTGGCAATCCAATAGTATGTAAAAAGGGTGAACCTAGAGGGGTCCTCTGTCAGCCAGTGGGATGCTGCTGGATACCATGACTTCGGTTACTAGAATGTAATCTCCTTGGGGGCAAGGACCCATGTTACTCATCTTCGTATCTCGTCCCTATACAGCTCTGTACTGCACCTTGGACAGTGCCAGGGCTCAATAGTAAATGAATGGATGCTGTAGAATAGTAGTGAGGAGTAACTAATAGCATTGAGCACAGTGCTTTAAGATGTTCATTGATCAATTAGTTGATTGATTAATAATACAAATAATAATAACTAGCATGTCTATAGCACTGTAAGGTTTACAAAGTGCTTTACACATATTATTTCATTTGATCCTCACAACAACCCCGGGAGGTAGGTGCTCTTATTACCCCCATTTTATAATGAGAAAACTGAGGCTGAGAGGTTAATGTAACATAGGTAGTAAGTGTCAGAGCCAGGGTTCAAACTCAAGCCTTCCTGACTCCTAGGCCTTGGCCACTGCCTAGGGGGAGTGTGAGTGTGATCAAGGATGGAGTGTAGACCAGGAGTCCTGGGGAATTCAGGAGGGAGAGGAGAAAACAGAGTATGGCACCTTTCTCTGGCTTTGCCTCTAGCTGTCTGCCTTGGGTCCCGACAACCAAACCTGGGAATGGGGACTAGAAAGATTAAGGGGAGCACTGGCTGAAAAGCAATGAGCAACTTTGAGATGAATCCCTGGCATTCAGGCACCGAAGCTTCAGACTCACATTGAGGGCGTTGGAAAGTACCAAGCCCACCATGTCCCCGGTCAGGTTGTTTCTGTAAATGACCATCAGCAAGGAAGGAAAGAACACCACCAGGTTCCCAATCAGCTCCAATCGAATCGCCAGCCACCTGTGGGGAAACAGGACCGAGAGAAAAGACTCCTGACTCCCCAGCCCTCACGATGCAGCACGTGAAGGAGTTCGGGATTCACGGGAACAGTGTGTGTGGCGCAGGGCTCCTCAGGAGGGAGGTACAAGGTGGCGCCCGGCAATGGGTGCGCTCTGTCGGAGTAAGATGGGTGTCTCGTCTTCAGCCTTTGTAAAGTGCATCTGATTTTAAGGAAATCAAAGACTGGAAAACGGGTCATGTAGGGGGAGCAAGAGATCACAAATGGACAAATGAAAAAGCACCTATTATGTGTTTACTCTGTGCTAATTACACTAGCACCCAAATACACTGGTGAGATTCCCTGCAGCCAAATAAATGAATAAATCAATGAAATACAATGAATCTGATTTTAAAGAGGGGGAGGAGAATGTTGTTTAGCGGCATCCCACAGTGAGTCCTTTAATACAAAAGACAACCACTTCCTCTTTGGTCTGTTCTGTAAACCTGTACTTTGACAAATTCTTTTTTACTTAAATCAAAGTGCAGCCCTAATTCCTGTGGGGTTTGGTTTTGTCTTTGGCAACGGGACTACAGCAGCACCCTGGCGTTAGGGGACAGACTCCAAGCCCAAGTACCTGGAAGTATCTTCTCCGCCCTATGAACCCATTTGTTTCACTTTACAATAAAGTCCCTGACTTCTTAGTGATTGGCTCCCACCTCCAAAAACAAAAACAAAAATGAAAACAAACAAACAAACAAAAAACAAGGAGCTCCAAGCTGCCTCCTTGAGTGCCTTCAGCTCCCACCAAGTAGCTTTCTTTATTCTTTGCTGGAACACCTCAACCTTTAACAGGTCTTTGAGTTCAGTAGGTATCTTACCTGGAATGAGGGAGGGTCCCCTAGCCCCTTTCACTTCAAAAGATATGAACTCTCTAGGTTTTTACAGGAACATTCTGTCTTATCTACTCTTTCCCCCCTCCACCCCTAAATACAAAACAATTATCCTTCCATCAAATGGATTGATCTACTTCTACTCAAGGAGTAAGCAGCCAGATACAAAAAAAAATGGGACCTCTATTCCTTGTACAGCACATCAGGAATATACCTGGTACTACCAGATGAGTTTTTAGAAATCATATTTTTGTTTATAATTTTTATTTTTACATCACCTTTATTTCAAACTATATCCCTCTCCTTCCCCTCCCCAGCAAGTCATCCCTTGTAACAAAGATTAAAAAAAGAAAAAAGAAAAATACAACAAAGCCAGCAAGTGAACACAATGGATGTGTCTGGCAATATATGCAGTATTCTTGACCCACAGCCCCCTACCTCTGTAAAGAGAGGAGGAAGGTACATTTTCTCATTTCTTATTAAAAAATAAACAATTAACAACTGCTGGGCTCAGCACACTCATCTGTAGCTTACAGAATTCAAAAGCATGATTCTAGACTAGAAATGCCCCTCACCTGTTGGAAATGATCCAGGAAAAGATGCATTTCTTGTTGGTATCAATTAGGTTTTCATTGTGCTTATGAAAACGCTGCTGATGCTCAAAGGCCCTGATTATGGGCAAACCAGTCACCGTTTCACTAAAGTGGGAGTATACTGGAGACTTGGTGACGGAGTCTAGACGTCTCAGCTGGCGGGAGGTGGCCACATAGAATCTCTGGAAGCATAAAGCAGGTTGCAGATGAAAAGGGATGGGTGGCAGAAAGTCATGTCTCTCTTGCTGGTTCTGGGAGTACTGTGGTCAGCATGTGTGCAAGTTTGAAGCCTCAGTATTATAATCAGAGAAGTAGGGGAAGGAGAAGAAAGCAAGAAAATGCGAGAAAAGCTGGGGTGTGGTAGGGTGTCCTACCCCATGTACAGCTATGCCAACAGCCTAGAAATAATTACATATGGAAGGCAAGCTTGATGCCCACTTTCAGGTTTGGCTTAGGCCACAAAAAGGAGTCCACCTTCTCTGCAGGAATGATAGCATCCAGCCCAGGTGGATTCCTTCAAAGAACCACTAGAGAAAACAAGGTGCAGCCTTGCAGAATGGGTAGGATACTCAAGTTGGAATCAGGAGGACCTAGGTTCAAATCCTGCCTCAGACCTTCCACAGTTATATGATTCTGGGAAAATCACTTAAGCTTCCTGTGCCTCAGTTTCCTCATCTGCAAAAGAGGGTGAGGAGGGATGTTGAACTCTACAGCCTCTAAGGGTCCTTCTAGCTTTAAATCTGCAATCCTACAGCTGACCAGGTCCTCTGATTTTGATTCCATTCTGAACCTATGTTCATGGTACAACCTTGCTGGTCTCAGCAACAGTGAAGTCTGGGACAGATGCTGAATCAGTAGCACCAGTCATACCCATCCTGGCCGCAGGAGTCTTCTGGCCTCAGCTTCTTCAGGATGTGAATATTTCAATGAAAAAGGGAAAGAGCTGAAGAGGAGTGAATGACAAGTGGAAAAGCAGATACTCATGAGAAGGCCCTAGCTTTTAGAAAGCAGAGCTGGGGAGCGACAAGCTCTGAACTTAAGCAGTGAGTGGAGAGGTCTCTACCTGTACAAAGATATAAACGATGGCCAGAGGAATGATGATGATGATGAAAACTGGGGTAGCCATAGAGATCATAATAAGGGTACTGATGATGCCCAAGAAGCAAAGGATCCAGCTTCGGAGGGATATAGGAATGGTGTCATCCACCATAGAAATGTCCTGGGAACACACGGAGTGAGGAAATGGGTTAGAAGAATGGTAAGATGTTATCTCTAAGGGCCTTTCCCACCCCCAGCCCCCTCATTCATGCTTTATTTAAAAAAAAAGATTCCCTATTTCTGCTTTTGCTGTAATCTCTTTTTAGAGAAAGTGATGTATACGTCCTTCTATTCACGCTTCACTCTGATACTCATATTCATGACTGTCATTTTTTCCAATTTTTTTGCTGGAAGGTAAGGATCCCAAATCATGGATGTTCATTCTATTGACTTTCTCAGCCTTGGGAAGGCTTTTCCAAAACTTCAGACAACATTAGCATCTCTTCTTTTTCCCCAGAAAAGGGGAGTTCACCTTTCTTTCACGATTATTAGTAGCTAATGATTGCTGGTAGGCAAATGGTCTCCCTCACCTGGATTACCAATGATCTTTTGTTGATGTTCTTTTTTTAGAGGCAATGGGGGTTAAGTGACTTGCCCAGGGTCACAAAGCTAATAAGTGCCTGAGGCTGGATTTGAACTCAGGTCCTCCTGATTCTAAGAGCACTGTTCTATCCACTGTGCCACCTAGCTGCTCTGCAACGATCTTTTAAATGCTAAGTCTGATGGCCTTTTCTCAGTCCTCAACCTCCACAACCTCTCTGCTTTTGCTATAGCCAGCCACCCTCTCCTGGCTATACTGTGTTCCTTGACCTCGGCAGCACTCTTCTTCCTCCTACCTCTTTGATCAATCCTTGGTGGATTCCCTTCATGGGCTCATCATCCTGCCCCCTAAGTGTGGGCACCTCCCAAGGTGCAATCCTAGGCACTCTTCTCTTATAGGATAAGAGATATAGAACTGCAAGGGACTTTAGAAATCACTTAGTCCAACCCTACTCATTTTTACAGACGAGGAAACTGAGGCCCAAAGGGATCACAAAGGTAGTAAGTGGCAGAGTCAGGATTCAAACTAAAGTTCTCTGTCTCTAAATCCAGCAGTCTTTCCATTGTACCATGCTCCTCTAATAAATCTTCATCCTTGGTGACCTCCTCTACACCCATGGGTTCAGTGATCATCTCGACACAGACATCTCTCAACACATCCAGCCCTCGTCTCTTCAGAGCTCCAGTACCACATCACCAACTGCCTACTTGACATCTCCCATTGGAGATGTTCCACTGGCATCTCAAACTCAGCAGGTCCAAAATGGAACTGATCATCTCTCCTAAGCCTATGCTGCTTCCAAACTTCCCTGGTTCTGTTGAGATCACCATCATCTAACCGGTAATCCATAGTTCTGGAACCTTTTTTTTTAATTCCCTTATTCCTCGGCACCCATATCCAATTAATTGCCAAGTCCTGTTGGCTCTATCTGAATCTCTCTCACATCCATCCCCTTTTCTCCACTCACATAGCTCCTGCACTGTCTCAGGCACTCCCCAGCCCTTATCTGGACTCTTTTCATAGCCTCCTGTTTGGTCTCTCAGCCTTCAGTTCCTCCCCTCTCCAATCCATCTTCCATAACAATCTTTGTGAGGGACAACTTTGACTTTCACTGGATTCCTATTTCACTTGGGATAAAATATAATTCCTCAACTGGGTTTTTTAAAGACCCTATGCCGTCTGATTCCAGACAACCTTTCCAGCCTTATTTCACATTACTCTCCTCTACACACTCAGTGTTCTAGCCAAATTGGACCTGTTCTCCAGATTCAACATTGCGTGTCCCACTTGAGGTATTTGTACAAGCTTTCCCCTGTGCCAGGAATACCCTTCTCTCTCCTCTCTGTCTTTTAAAATCATTATCTTCCTTCAAGGTTCAGCTAACTCTCTCCAGGGTGAGACTAACTAATCCCCTCAGGTATTAATGTTCTCTCACTCCTCAGATTACTCTGAATTGATTTATCTCTGTATGTGTTGTATGCCCTAGGCCACATATTCTGATGTCAATTGTTAAAGGGCTTGACTGATTTCTTTTCTTCTCTTCTCTCTCTCTCTCTCTCTCTCTCTCTCTCTCTCTCTCTCTCTCTCT